TTTGATTTATGTTGAATGCTTGCTTAGGCTTCTTAACACACCCTTGGTTTACTGTGTGCTTTTCTCTTGTATCTTTAAATTAGTGTTGTATAGGTAAATAACATGTAGGCTGATGGATTATTTTTTTTCTTTATTCAATAATTGATGGAAAAGCAATCCTTTCCTGATTTATGTTTTGAGGTTTTTTTGTTTCGTTTGTTATTGTTTAGTTTGGTTTGGTTGGGGTTTTCTTGTCCCATAAAAACAAATACATCTTTTTGAACTTGAAGGGTCAGGATTTTATGTTGGTCTTGTTAATAATCGCATACAGTAAGAATTATTTGCAGAATTACTGAATGAAATTGTGTCTTTAATTGTGAAATGAGAGGTGAGAATGTCCTGATCACGTCTGTCTTTCCAACTGATAATCTGCAGATCCACTGGGGTTTGTGAACTGCTGTTGAGGGTTCTCACAAAGATAACTGTGAGTTACCTCTTGTTTTCAGGCTGAAATTTATTCTGCTTACATTTTTAGGCAACCTTCAAACTGGAAAAGATTAAAAACATGGGGTTAGTCAAGGCAGCTCCACTTCTAAGATAATTATGGTATCTTATCATCAACATTTTACAATTTTTGCATAACTCACTTTAGATACTGATCAAATTTAGAAAGGTAAAATCATTGCTCTTCTAGACTCAGTCTCCCCATGGATTCTATTATGGTACCTCAACTTTACTAACAGTTTAAAATACTAATGGAAGAGAAATATTATAATGCTGTAATAATTAATTGTGAGCATCTACTGATAGGTACTTTAAGGCACCAACATTAACAAATCTATTAAAGAAAATAACTGGGAGTATTTCTCAAAACGGAAGATATGGACTCGTAACCTCACACAGATGTCTCAGGAGTATGGATTTATATGCTATACGTGTCCTTACACAGTGTTGTGATTTGAAAATCTGTTTTCTGTTGTGCTTGCATGTTTTTATTCTGGAACTTTACTAAAACTTACAGAAGCAACTGTAAATTGAACTGTAATAAAGCATGCAGAGCCACAATATATGCAAAGAAAATTATTTAATGTTTTTACGTGCAAGAATGTAATTAAATACTTATTTTCATTCTATGGAAATTGTAGAAGAAAAATCAATGCAATCACAAATGACAAAAAAAAAAATTAGTAGACTACATATTTTTTTAAAAGAAAACCCTACATTTGTCCGTGGAGAAAGTAAAATGACGTGAAATACTCAAAAGAACTTACTGATGTAAATGAATAACTCTCAGACAGAGTTTTAAAAGTCTTTTAGTTTGAGGATTAAGACTGTTGCATTTGACACACAAGTAGAGAATATAAATTCTTTGTTACTTCTGAATATTACAAAATATGCTTTGTAAAGTTGTAACATTTGCTCTTTTAATACAGAATTAATTTCCTGAGATTCTAGAGCCAAATATGTAAATAACTCAAAGTTAATTTTAAATAGGCCTGGTAATATTTTTATCTGGCATACCTTTTCTCACAAATTATTTAAAAATGTGAAACCTTCAACTTTGTATAATTAAAAATTTACTGAATTGTTTAACTAGCCTGAGAAATAAGACTGTAATTAAAATAATTTATTGACTACTCTTATAGCAACTCATCTTGATTCTAAGATAAAGTTGAAATCCAGTACGTCTGCTGCAGGCTGTGAAGTGAAATGTAGGCAAAATTTAGAAGACTAAATCCAAGAGGTAACTCAGGGACTCATTCTCCAAAGATGCAAAATTTAAATATGTATAACTAAGTAGGCAGATCATGCTCTGAGATTTTAATGGTTGCCAGCATATAACCAAAGTGTTCTATTTCCAAGTCACTTTCTCTTGTGTGCCTAAACCATGAGGGACTCCCTCTGAAGCATTTACTTCAACATACTGATCACACATGGACAGCACACCTCAGAGTCCACCTCTTGGAGTCCCAGTGTCTTCTCAGCAGGTGGGAACTCAGCTTCTTCCTTAACCTCTGAGAAGTCAGATCCACATCTTCCAATTCCCCAATATGGTCTAATCACTATATAGTGCTGAAAGTTCCTCCATGCATGTCCTGATGGGACCAAGCCATTGATGCTCTGTCAACAACCAATTCCATACTGCCAGGAGGAGAGTACTTGCTTCTGTAGTCTGATAGTTCAGGCTGTGAGGTGGAAGGAATTAATCCTGGGGTCTCTTCCCTACGCTGCTCATTACAAATTGATTTTGTACATCTTGCCATACTTTACAGTGGGGAATAGGGATCTTGGTTAACTGCTAAAGACTCTGGATACCAAACACAGAGATGGTGTTTCTAGTGGAAGGCAGGGCAATGTTAAATGCTAGGTATTAAAATTCTAGCAGGTTTCGTGGGTCTAGCCCAAATGCTATGTTACCCATGTTAGATTGATCTCTGACACTGAGTAGGAAAACCCTCGTCTATAGTTGGTACGATTATCTCTTACTGGTTGAAGTTTTTTGTTTAGTGTTCATTGAATATATAATTAGTATTGCAGTAATCACTACACATTTCATTCACCCTTCACAAAATAGCTGTTCAGGGCACCTGTTACAGTACCTGAAGGGGGCTTACAGGAAAGTTGGAGAAGGACTTTTTACAAGGGCATGTAGAAATAGGACAAGGGGTAAAGGTGTTAAGCTGAAAGGAGGTAGATTCAGTTTAGATATTAGGAAGAAATTCTTCACTGTGGAGGTGGTGAGACACTGACACAGGTTGCCCAAGGAAGCTGTGGCTGCCCCCTCCCTGGAAGTGTTCAAGGGCAGGTTGGATGGGGCTCTAACTAACCTGGTCTAGTGGGAGGTGTCTCTGCCTATGCAGGGGGGTTGGAGTTAGGTGATCTTTGAGGTCCCTTTCAACCCAAACCATGCTATGATTCTATGACTCTATAGCGTAAAATAATAATAAACTCAGTTTGCTATTTCACACTGTGCTTCATGTACAATTATTCAGCAAATATTTTCTATAAAGTATATGCATACTAAATCTTTACCTTGTCAAAGTCTTTAATCATGAATGGAAAAGAGAAAAGGTATCATCTTGTTCAAATAGATCTAATTAAATTAATTTATTCATTTAAAGCTCTGACATTTCTTGTGCATTTTCCTTCATTTCATTTCCACTGGATTTCCATTGAGCATCCTCCAGCCATGTTGAAATATAAACTTTTTCCAGCTTACTTACCAGATCAATCCCTTTATGAAAAAAGATTTGAGATATATTTCCATATTTGTTTTAAGAATGTAATAAAAGATGTACTAATTTGCGGACAGGACCAACATTTGTCCACTGTACACTGGAAAATGAGCTGTGCAGCGAAACTGCTGACCCAACATTAATTTACAGCTTGCATAAGCAGGGTTGGGATAATAAAGCGTCTCCAATGCCTATAAGCTATAAATAGGATGCATTTGTCAATTGACTCACCCAGGCAAATTGTACTGGCTTTTCACCCTGCACCTGTGTGCTTTTGTATCTATTAGAAGAGCAGTGGAGCTGTTTCTATTAAAATACTTTGTCTGTACTTCATTAAAGACTTATTATCAAACTTTTTTCACCTGAGCACACCCAATAATAGAGTTTCAAAGTGTCTACTTTCTTATACTTATCTGCCAGTGCTCAGGTATATCTTTGATTGTTTGTCTCTGAAACTCTTCCATATGAAAGGCTTGCAATGACAGTCTAACCCAGCTTGTGTTTTGTGTGTTTCAACACCTCTCTGAGAAGCACCCCTAATACAGTTTCATTAAATGCTTAATATTTAGGTGCAAGTAAGTTGTATAAATTGGAAATACTGGATTCCAATCTACCTGTCTTCTAAACTGACTTATGCCCATAATTGAAGCCTATAAAAATCTATACAAATTGGACACAGTAAGCCCTAGTGCCTCCAAAACTATACAGCTGTTCTATAGGATAAAACTACCTGACCTGTCTTTCTTCATAAACTGTTTCCAATGAAAAATTTTGCATTTGTCTTCTAATCTTTCCCACTCACATTGAGTGAACAAAAATAAATATATATATATATACACACACACATATATGTTTTGGTACATGAGAAGTCTATAATAGCCCTCTAACAATATCTGTGGAACATTTCATTTTCCTTTGAGCTGCTGAGATCCCCTGGTGCATTTTGTGTAAAAAAGGGGGTTTTGATATCATAGTAGTATGCAACTGGAATGGCACCAAAATACATTCTGGTGAAGTCTTTCAAACACTTTCAATTCTTCCTCTTTTTTCTTAAAAATGCAGATTTTACAACTGTACTGGAAATTATAATGCCTTTTATTAGGACATTATATATATGCTAATGCATTTTCATTGGAAATATCAACCAATCAGAACTTAAACAGGTTCCCAGTAGAACTTCAGGTGTTTCCATGGAAGGTATGCTTCCTTCTCTGGCAGCACATGTGAGAGGTCTGACTTGCCCAACACACATTTGAAACAGATGTAGTACAAATGAGAGCAGCTTTCCCTCAGTGAAAATGTAGAACTTGAGTTTCTTTTAACTGTAAATATTAGAAAAGGAGCACTCACAACCACTCACCATTTAACATGGCTAAGCCAGGACACACTGTAGCAGTCTCAGTATTTCTGTTCATCATCCTACTAGAATGTGTGGACAAGCTGAAAATCCTCCTTTGCAAATAATAGATGTAAAACAGAAGGTGGTTCCCTCTTGGCACAGGGCTTGGCAGTATAAAACACCTCTCATGAGTTCAAGGGGAGGTTATTTTGCTGAAAGTCATCATTTCTGGTACATCATTATACATGTCACTGAGCTTTTTACAGAGGATGTAAAAGAACAGGCCTCGAATCTGCCCTGCCCACAGGTTTACATCCATGACAAAAGAAGCAGAGGGTTCTGTGGGAAATAGTATTCAACATGTATGCTGCAGCTGTAGACTGCCAAAAGAATTAACTTTATCCATCTTATTTTTATTATTATTATTATTTCCTTCTCACTTACAGGTTATTCATCAGCTTAGGCTTTCAGAGAATGAGAGTGTGGCTCTGCAAGAGCTTCTAGATTGGAGGAGAAAGCTGTGTGAAGAGAGAGAAGACTGGCAGCAAATCTTGCACAACACTGAGCAAAGAATCACAGCCCCACCTCCACCCCCTTGTAAAAAGCCAACACTGCTGAAGAAGGTTGAAGATACCTCCTGCAACAGACTCTCTTCAGGCATATGGGATACCACCATGTGATTCAGACGTGTGTTTGCAGACTGTTAGGAATGAAAGCATCTAATGACTTCAATCTGCACAATCAGCAAGTTTTCTTCCCTTCACAGAGAGTGCAGGGATTTTTTATAAGCACTCATTCAAGAGCACAGGATGGAGGAGCTACTTAGATCTGTCATGTGTGTGTGCATGTGTATGTTTGTTCTTTTCATGTATATATACACACATACACATATATATGTACATCTGTGAATATATATATGTATGTATGTATATATATACATGGAGACAAACTGCACTATGAGTACTTAGTTTAGAAGTACTAGACAGTCACTTAGAGTTCTCCTGTGGACAGTGAAGAAACTATGTTAAGCAAACGATGATGGGGAGAAGTGACTGACAGGCATTTTGGAGCAATCAGAAAGTCTGTGTGCACACTGTACAGCTGTTTTATATAATACATATATATGATGTTTCTTGTTCCCTAATGAATGGTTTTATTATATTACATGTATACATATATATATTTCTTTGTAGATGTCTGTGTTCCATTGGCGTTGCAAACCTTAAGATTATTTACATGTTTATTACTGGTGTTTTATAACTTTATGCAACTGGTGCTGTTGTTCTTTCTTCAAAATACAGGTAATAAATTCAATACTTGCATTTTTCTTTCATACTTTCTTTAACAACATACCAAACATTTTCAACACTGTTTTTCTTTTTCAGAACTGGCAATATCCTTTTTAAAATCCAATCCTGAAATTCTTGCAAGGCTCCTGTATGCAGGTGTGATTTAATGCTGTTCACAGTCATGAATCCGAGAGCAGGACTTCTTTCTGTGGACCTGTGTTTCTGAGTGTGTGAACTGTGAATTATGTAGTTACATCTCAAATCTTTTTCTATTCTGAGTTATGTAAAATAATGAGGGACTCATGTAGCATATAAGTATGGTTTGAAATTCATAACTGATTATGCATAAGGTCAGGTGTCAGTGGAAAGATACAAAATGGTAATGAGGTATGAAAAGAGGGCTGTGATTTACTGCTACAAGCCAGAAGTCTTTTTTGAGATGAGTATGTCAAAGGATTATGTCCTTATGCTAGTACAGTGATGCATTTATACTTCAAATTTCATGTAATGAAATGGTTTCAGAAATTGGAGCATTCTTGTTGGTGAACATGAGTTCTGAGCAGTAATACTAATTTATGAAAAACATGCTGCTAGAAATTTGTTAGCTACTGCTCAGGAGTCTTTGAAATATTGCTTGGCCATTAAAAGGTGTAATTTATATATATGTACAAGTATTTTGTCAGGGGCCACTTATTTTAAATTCTTGGAGTATGTAGAACCAGCATGAAAGTCATCTTGGCTGTTTGCCCCATTCCTGTTGGGATCCAGGGAAAAGTGCTTGTAGTTTTGCAAGTGGATATAAAACTAGTATTTGCAAATGTAAGCTAGGTTTTTAAAAGTGAGCTCATCCTTGCTTGGAAGTTGTTGGGAATGGAAAGCAACCAGCTTGGAGATGTAGGTTTTTCCATTGTGTTTGACAGAAGCTCTAAGCAGGCTGGATGCCAAAAAAGTGATCCCATGCTTGCGTGCTTTTTCAGAGGAACAGCAAACCTAAAATTGTTCCCATGAATATTGTCAAGCTGTAAGCAGAATTGAGCACCTGCTCCTGATGGAGATTAAAGTAAGATATTTTGAGTGGACAAGGAAGGGAAGACACCAGGTTAGCTCAGAATTTTATCTTTTTACTGCTGTTAGCTTCACAGAAGTCCTCTGTAAGATTGCCCATTTCTATTTCATGGAGAAGCAGGGACTCTAGACTCTGAATGTTACCTTCAGCTGATGTAAATGGCCATAGATCATGACCTTACCCAGGAGGGGCATATAATCACTGAGAGGTTATGCAGACAAGAGCTCTCACCCACTAAAAATTAAGTCAGAATGAGGCTTTGCCTGGAAGAACTGAGTTTTTCTGCCTTTTCCCTCAGATGACCAGACACACACAGAGATCCCTGTGTGAGAGCAAAATGAAACAGCTCCTGAACTGGATGCAAGAGGGCTAATTAACCTGACCTTGCAACTACATCGCTTCCAGGCTGCAAGTTGTTATCCCTACATGGCCCAGCATTGCTATACATAGCCATAACAACCTCTACCCAGCTAGCTCAGTCATCCTGCACACCTCACTGCGCTGAGACACACAGACGAGCCCTCAGGCTTATGGCTGCTCAAACCCGCCTGGCAAATAGCCCTCTCATAACCTCCATCATGTTGCTGGCTCTAATGCCCACTAGCTGGCTTGGCCACTGTTAGCAAGCGATGCACAGCATCCTGGAGGCTTAGGGCAAGCTGCGAAAAAAATGACAGAGAAACCAGTTTGGATCATGCCAAGATCTCTGCTGTGGCAATGAGGTTGCTACCAGTCACCCAGTTAGTTCTTTGCAAGGTGAGCTTGTGCATCTGCAGACAACACTGTCATCATCCCTGCACTTGTGATGTGGAAGCAACCTAGGGGAAGAGAATACATTTGTCAAGTGGGGGTTAAAATTGAGTCTGAAACGGAAAATAGTATAAATGCACTTTATACTATTTGCAATCCTTACTTAGGGTTATCTTAGAGCAGTGATCAGCCTCAGCTGCAGGAGCTCAAGTGGGATCTAAGCAAAATTTTTGCCACTCTTTCAAAGTCAGTATTGTGCCCTAATACGACACCATGAAGCAAGCATGGAAAAAGGTGTGTAGATTTTCTAGCAGTTCCATCAATGCATTTACACAGGAGAAGCCAGTACAAACCTGATGCAGGCAATCTGATTCTCCAGACAAAGAGCAAACAGACTATTCTCCCTGCGCAGAAAGTCTTTGTTCTAATTTTGCAAACTTGGGTAAGACATTTATTTTCTGGGGCTCTTCCTTAAAGCCTATATCCACAGTGCAATACAACAAACTAAATAGCAGATGATATGAGACCTGTGTTTTTTCAATGTTTTTGTTCCTTCCAAGTTATGTAATGGCTAACTTTTTACTCGGGAAGATTTTTTAGGATATTGCATTAAAATAGAGTACTATAGGAATAAAGTATTTGTGTTAAAACATGTTTTAAATATTTCTCTAATGGCGATAAGACACTCCAGAGTGTGACTTATGATGTCATAATTCACACCTAGTGTGTTCATTGGTCCCTTGGCCTTTGGCCTCATGCCTAACAATGCAGTTGGTAGGAAATTATTATACCATAATTCACACCCTACTGTGTCTTATTGCTTAAATAACCATACCCCCAGAGGTGTCTTAAAACTACCATTAAAGTTTATATTGTGTATCAAAATGTGTTTACAGGGCTGGGAAAATATACTATTGACATTTTGAAATGTTGCAAAGTAGTTTTAGCAGAACTGTACAGTGCTCGTAAATTAATCTCCCCAGTGGAGCGTGCACCAGCCAATTACAGTATTTCTTGAGTGTGTGAAGTTCTCTCTTGCACATTAAAAAAAAAAGCTTAGACATGTCATAATTCACACCTAGTGTGTTCATTGGTCCCTTGGCCTTTGGCCTCATGCCTAACAATGCAGTTGGTAGGAAATTATTATACCATAATTCACACCCTACTGTGTCTTATTGCTTAAATAACCATACCCCCAGAGGTGTCTTAAAACTACCATTAAAGTTTATATTGTGTATCAAAATGTGTTTACAGGGCTGGGAAAATATACTATTGACATTTTGAAATGTTGCAAAGTAGTTTTAGCAGAACTGTACAGTGCTCGTAAATTAATCTCCCCAGTGGAGCGTGCACCAGCCAATTACAGTATTTCTTGAGTGTGTGAAGTTCTCTCTTGCACATTAAAAAAAAAAGCTTAGACAAAAAAAAAAAAAATAGCCTTTATGAATTTAATATTCTAAAGGGAAAGATTAAACTCTATGAGCGTGCTAATGCCCTTAATATCCAATGAACAATCTAAAGTATATTTATATTTGCAATAAAGCAATTTCAGGAAGCTGGGGTTATCGTCAGATAATCACTCCTCCACATTGTGCCTTATTGCTTACTTTTAAATATGTGAAAAAAAGAAAACTTCTAACAAATCAGCCTGTCCTTCAGTATAAGGTAAGAAAAATCTGACGTATTTTACACTTGATGTTAAACCCGAGGGAATTTAAAAACCATATTAAAACACAATAAAAGAAAAACAACAGCTGTTGGCATGAGAAATTTTTAAAGCTTGTAAACCTTCCTTGTTACTCCTGAAATAGCACTTAATATTTTTTAGTTGCTGTAGTTACATTCCTATTGCAGATTATAAGCAAACTTTTGCTTTTAAAACCTGATTTAGACATTTGGAGAAATACATGCACCAATAGTTTACAAAAGATCTGTGTACAGCATGAAGTGATAAGCCTTTTAAGAATCTGTATTGTTTACCAAAAAAAAAAATAGTATGATTGTTGAATAACTGAATTACATTTCCCTTTTTGCCAGTGATCCTTTTTATTCCTTCTAAAAGGCTGACTTATTTTCATTAATAACTTTATTATATTGCAGAACCTTTGTGTGCGGAACAAAGAATGTCATTAACTTGCTAAGAAAGTGTAATAGATTGTAGCATAGTTCTAAAGTGATAGTAATAGCCATATTCATTGTAGGTTTTAATTCTGCTTTATAGTATTGAGATCCCTAGTAATCCCGTTATTCTTATCTCTATAAAGCCTGCTAATATCTGAAGTGCTCTAAGGAACCTAAAATAAGTTTTGCCATTCACTTGTTAAATAATAAATGTAATTAAACTCTGTACAAGACACTTTTTCAGAACGGTATTAAACATTTCATGGTTTTGTGTTCTAAATATGTGGTTTTTAAAAAGGAAACATCGCCTGAGCGTAACTATTTGACAGTATCTGAACAAAAGAAGAAGGGCATATAAGGAAATGCTTTTCTTCAACTTTTGCTGTTCTCTGTATACTCAGGATTTTCACTTTGAGAAGAAATAAATAAATCGCAGTGCTGGCTTATACTGTGGCTCTGAGAATTAGATCACTAGCAAAGATTATCTGTCCTTTCACCTGTAGTTTTGCCATCTGCCTGATCACATGAATGTTTGCTGAATCTGGCTGAATCATGGATTTTACTGAGAAGTGTCACAGGTAAAAATTTAGTCAAGTCATGAATTGTCTTTTTGAGGATTTTTTATTTTTACAGTAAAAAAAAACACCCAACTGAATTATCTAGAAGTATTGAAATCAACATTAAGTAGCTTATTTTATTTCATATATATATATATATATAAAATCCCCTCTTAACCCTTTCTTTTCTCCCTTCCTGTCAACTTAGATTAGTTTTCAAGCAGACTTCTATAATGAAAAAAATGTGGTTAAATGAAATTTCAGAAAAACATTTTGGTTTAATTTTCAATGAAATATTTTCAATTAAAAATACTGGATTAGAATATTTCAATATTTTCAACATGTTTTTCACCTTTTA